TCTTAAAAGCATATTGGAAACTGGGCACCATGGCACACACCTGTTATCACTCTGGCAGGCTGAGGCCAGAGGCTCACAAGTTTGACTTTTGAGCCCCACTGAGACTTTTTCTCAAATTAAACAAGGAAAGAGGGGAGCTGAGGCTGTAGTTCAGGGTAGACCCTGGATTCAAACCCCACTGCGAAAAAAGAGGGAGACGATGAAGGGGGAGGAGGAGAGGGCGAGACGGAAGAGCAGGCAGAACGACACCTGCCGAAGAGTAAAAGCGCAGGAATCACAGACACGACGGAACGGCTGGACAGGGAGCGGGAGCGCTAGCAACTCCGCGCCTCCCAGCGTGCTCCAGACGAGGCGCTGGTGGCTTAGCTGGGCGGACCTGGCCAAAGCTGGCCAAGCAGAGCCTTGTGTTTCTCCGATGAGCCGTGTCTTCGGCCCTAGGTGGGCACCTGACCACAGAGGCCCAGCGGGCATCCAGGATGGCCCTCTTCCCAGCACAGGAAGGTGGGGCGCCGCACCCTTGTGAGCCCGATGCCAGGACGGCTTTGATGAGCTACCTCCTCCCAGGACACCGATGGGGGCTCAGCCCGTGGGGGTCAGGCCTGGAGAGGAACACGATGGGGCTCAGCCCGCCCTGGCCGGGAAGCCGGGAAGCCTGCGCGCAGCTGAGGCCGGGGCACTGTGGTGCGGGTTCGGACCTGGGAGCTGCCCAGTGCCCTGGCCCTGCAGACCCGACGGTCACACACTCACCAGGAAGTCCTCCTCACAGAACACTTTGCCGTTGACGAAATAGAAGGCTTTTCCTCTCAGTCTTCGGCCTAAGGAAAAAAACACAAAGATGGGGGTAAAAAAAAAAAAAAAAAAACAAACAAACACTGACACTGCGAGAAAAGAGAAGGCTTGGGACCAGCCTGCAGGCCCTCTGGCTGTGGTGTCTGTCCCACCTAGTGCGGCTTGCTGTTCCCAGGACCCTTGTCCTCCTGGGAGATGCTCCTGTGTCCCTTGAGGGCAGAACTGTCAACCCAAGTGAGCTCACACCAGAGGGCTGGGCAGGATCTAAAGCCCGCGGTCAAGGCTGCCTTGGGAAATCCAGCCAAGGATCAGAAGATGGCCCCATACAGAACTGCAACATGAATCAGTAGCAAAATGATCACTAACCCGGTGAGGAAAATAAGCAAAGGATGGGAAGGAGAAGTGCACAGGAAAAGCGTGCGTGGTAATAACCTAGTATCCCTAACAGAATACAAGACACCAGTCCACCAACAACCAGGGTGACACAAGGAAAACCGAGAGAGGCTACCTTACTTCATAGATTGACTAAACGGACTATCTTTAAGAAAACGTGTTTGGGGACTGGGTGGGAAGAGACCACTAAGAAGGCCATCCAGGAACACTTCATCAAGTGCCAACAGCAGAAAAGCCACACAAACCCCGGCACAGTGCGAGGGTTACCCTTGAGAAGATCCACAAAGGTGTTTGAGGGGCCAACACACTGATGTTCAGGCCATCACTGTTTTCAGAGAAACCAGGAGCATCTTCACAAGATTTACTCACAGGGAATGGGGAGATGGCTCAGTGGTCTTAAGTGCCTGCCTGGCAAGTGCAAGAAAGGGCCTGGGTTTGATCCCCAGTACCACATGCTATGCTGGCCCTGGAAACCTGGGCACGCCGTGCTGGCCACTGAATCCAGGAGTGGTAGCACTTGCCCGTAATCTACCATACTCTATGTTCTTTAAAAAAAAATACAGACCCAAAATAACACGAATGTTGGAGCATTCTAGGTGGTAGGGAAATGTCTTATTTCCTCCACATGACACA